GTAAGATTTCTCAAGATACTTTCAAAACCTATCCGAAAAAATATATTATTATGGGCAAGTCTTGAAAATACGTGGAATTGATAAAAAAGAATAACCATAAGCATAAATGAAGACGAAAGCGAGGAAGAGTTTGACAATATAAATAAAATTGAAGACAGTTCTGACGACAGTGGGAACGAAAATTATCGCGTAAAAGAAAAAAAATGCGTATTATTGAAAGCGAGAGTGAAATAAAAGATGTCGATAATGAAGAAAATACCGCGAAAACATATATAACCCCCTTCATGTGTTTTATAATTGTTTTTAGATTTGGTAGCCATCAATGCCTGGATTATTGTACAAACAGAGTAAAATTGGATTACTGGAGTAAAATTCAAAAGAATTTTCTCTTTCAATTAGCTGAAGAATTGGGCAGTGACCATCATTATGAAATAGCTTCGATTCATCTAACTATATTTGTATTAAATCTAAAGAGTATTACAGAAAGTATACATTCAAGATAGAGTTTACAATGTAAAACATCGAAGACAACGATAAATAAAAATCTATTTTAAAATAGATTTTAAATAAATAATTTACAAAAAAATTGCATTTTAATATATCCGTTATAAAAAAACGAATTTCAGTGAAAAAAGGTATATAATCGATGTGAATCTAATATTAAATAATTGGATGTATAGTAAGTTTAGAAATTAACCATCGATGATTCTTCCCTTCTTCATTCTTTATTTTAATCAAAGACAGAGGCCAGATGTAAAGTAAAATTTTTCCAATATGGCGACGATATTTATTTATACTTGATTTTTTTAAAATGATTCCTAACCTCTTTAATCTTATGAATATATAGAAACTATATTTTAGTTCAAGTTGATGGTCAGTGGTAATAAAAATATTATTACTTCAAAATTTTCGAGTTTTGCAAGAATAAAATAAAATGAGGTTAGTTGAATGATGTTGAAATTGACGATGGAGAGAAGGAGAATGAAAATAGAGAAGAGATAAGAATAAGAAAGGCGAAAGATATCGAAACAATGTTTTATTATACTTACCCTAACAAGAGAATGCATCTATCACGTATTAAACACATACACTTTAACATCCGACAAATTTTCTACCTTTGCACATCTAAAGCTACATAAAAGCTTTACACGCGTGTGAAATCATTTCAAATTCATTCAAATTCATTTCAAAGCTGAGAACGTGGAGTTGTCGATTCGACCGGAAGTGGAGGAAGGATTAAAATGACGCGACGAATCGAATTATCTTCTCTATTTCGGTCGATCGAAAGATTTGGACACTTTCTTCTCGGTCGATAAAGAAGGGCGGGAAATGGTGGTTGTTGGATCGAGGGTGGCGCAAATTACCTCTTTAACGAAAAGGTAACCGATTCCTCACTCGAGTTGGAGGAGTTGGTGGAAAGATGGAACGGTCCCAGGAGGGGATGGCGATATCCTCTGGTGGTGGTGGTGGTGGTGGGTTAGCGACCGTCCACGTCCAGGCGGGCCAAGTGACAAATAGATGTACGCGGGCCACCGCACGATTTACTCTTCGGCGAAGGGATAAAAGCTTGCTGACAAAATCCTGCTGTGACAGCGGATCCCGACCGACGTCTCAGGACCGTGTTGCTTCTCTCCCGCGACTAATCGCCCCGTTGTTGAAATAAAAGAAAGGAAAGGAAAAAAATATAAATGCCCGCGAAAAATCTCCTCTTCCCAGGCGATGTCGACGGCTACGACTTTCCGTCGAGACTTTGCTTCCTCGTTTTGTACATCTTGAAATGAAAAAGAATTAATCCTGCAAAGGATGAATCTTTGTCCAATGATAAAACTTTGAATACGCGATATTTTGTTCGAACTTTTGATCTCGAGAGTTGGAAAATTTGGACAATTGTCCAATTGTAAATACAGAAAAGAAAGACTCTTTTTCCTTTTATAGATCTTGAAATGAAGAAGAATTAATCGTGCAAAGGATGAATCTTTGTCCAATGATAAAACTTTGAAGATGCGATATTTCATTCGAATTGAATTTTTGATCTTTTTGAAAATTGGAAAAAAATTTGAACAATTGTCTAATTGCAAGTATAGAAAAGAGAGTTGCCTTGTGAAAAAAGATCGTATATGAATCTATCCAATGATAAAATTTTGAAGATGCGATATTTTATTCGAATTTTTGATCTCGAGAGTTGGAAAATTTGAACAATTGTTTAATAGCAAGTACAAAAAAGAGAGTTGCCTTGTGAAAAAGGATCGTGCTAGATGAATCAGGATGAATCTATCCAATGATAAAATTTTGAAAATGCAATTTTAATTGAAGTTTTCGGAATTTTTGATCTCGAGAAAGCTCCTTGGAAAATTTGAACAATTCTAATAGTATAGTTTTTAAAAAAAGAGAGTTGCTTTGTCTTTTTCCTTTTATAGATCTTGAAATGAAAAAGGATGCAAGATGAATCTTTATCCAATGATAAAATTTTGAAAATGCGATTTTTATTGATGTTTTCGAGGGATTTTTGATCTCGAGAAAGCTCGTTGGAAAATTTGAACAATTATCAATAGCAAATAAAGAAAAGAGAGTTGCTTTGTGAAGAAGAATCGTACAAGAATGAAATTTTGAAGATACGATATTTTATTCGAGTTTTCGAAAATAAAATGGAATTTTTGATCTCGAGAAAGCTCCTTGGAAAATTTGAACAATTGTCTAATTGCAAGTACAATTTTCAGAAAAGAGAGTTGCCTTGTGAAAAAGAATCGTGCAAGATGAATTTATCCAACGAAATTTTGAAGATGCGATATTTTATTCTTATTGAAGTTTTCGAATTTGAAATTTTTGATTTCGAGAAAGCTCGTTGGAAAATTTGAACAATTCTAAATAGTTATAATAATATAGTTCTCAGAAAAGAGAGTTGCCTCGTCTTTTTCGTTTTATAAATTTTGAAATGAAAAAGGTGTAAAGTAATAAAATTTTGAAAATGCGATTCTTATTGAAATTTTCGAGGGATTTTTGATCTCGAAAAAGCTCATTGGAAAATTTGAACAATTGTCTAATTGCAAGTACAGATCTCAAAAAAAAGAGTTGTCTTATAAAAAAAAAAGGATTATGCAAATCTATCCAACGAAACTCATTGAAGTTTTCGAATAAAGAATTTTTAATTTCGTTGGAAAGCTCGTTGGAAAATTTGAACAATTGTCTAATAATACAGATCTCAAAAAAAAGAGTTGTCTTATAAAAAAAAAAAAATCGTGCAATGAATCGAATAAAGAATTTTTAATTTCGTTGGAAAGCTCGTTGGAAAATTTGAACAATTATCTAATAGCAAATACAGATCTCAGAAAAGAAAATTGCCTTATAAAAAAGTATCGTGCAAGATGAATCTATCCAACGAAACACATTGAAGTTTTCGAATGAAGGATTTTTAATCTCAAGAAAATTGCCTAATTGCAATTACAGATCTCAGAAAAGAGAGTTACCTTGCAAAAAAAGAATGAATCTATCCAACGAAACTCATTAAAGTTTTCGAGTGGAATTTTTAATCTCGAGAAAGCTCGTTGGAAAATTTGAACAATTGTCTAATTGCAAGATATCAGAAACAAGAGCTCCCTCTTTTTCCTTTTATAGATCTTGAAATGAAAAAAAAGAATCGTGCAAGATGCATCTTTGTCCAATGATAAAACTTTGAATATGCGATATTTTATTCGAATTGAATTTTTGATCTTTTGAGAGTTGGAAAATTTGAACAATTGTCTAATTACAAGTACAGAAATTTGCCTCTTTTTCCTTTTATAGATCTTGAAGTGAAAAAAGGATCGTGCAAGATGAATCTATCGAATAAAAAGCTCGATAAAAAGCTCAAAAGTGAATTCAAAAATATATTTCCTAAAATATATTTTAGCAAGAGTTGTTTTCAATCTATTAACTCATTCGATTGTCGAATCAATTCGAGGTTGAAATTTCGAGGTCTCTCTCGAGGTGAAGGAGGAGGGAAGAGCAACGGATGTCCAGGATCGCGTGGAGGATCAAGGGAGCAAAAGTTTATCCCAAATGCATTATCTTAATGAATTAGAGGCCCAAGTTCAATTAACTTTAAGAATCGGGTGACGTATTTAATTTCCTTGGAATAACGAGAGTCCTCCTTGGGGGAGGGAGAGAAGAGGGGAGGAAGGAGACTTATTTTGTGTTGAGAGAGGGACACTGTTTTTGAAACTTATCCAACCCTGCGAGACTTATTTTGGAAAATCGAGTCGTTCGTGTGTTTTCTCGTTTTCTCTTAACTCATTCAATTTAATAGAATTTAAAATTGTGGGAGAAACAAAGAATCGTGGATTGAAACGAAGATGCTCGATGGAATTTTTTTTTTTATTCAATATCGTGTAGAAGCATTTTTCCAAGCTTTTTATGAAGCGAGCTTGTTTTGCAACATTGGTAAATAAATATCTTGAGAGAAAAATAATGAATTATTCCAGAAAAAGTAACGATTCAACAGCGAATATTTTATTCAATATCATTTTTAACATTTTTCGAAGCTTTTTAAAGTGATGTTGAATTATAATATTAAACTAAGATAAATTAACATAAAATTATAACATAAACATAAACATAAAATTAATATAAATATAATGTATATATAACATAAAATTAATATTAAATTAATATAAAAATATATCTTAGAATTTGAATAGTTTGATACTTATGAGGGAATAGGAGAGATAGCAGTGCCAATGATCAAAATTTTCATAATAAAAGATGCCAAAGATGGATTCTCAAAATTTTTACAACGCAAAATAATAAATTTTCCAAAAAAGTAGTGATTCAACAATATAAAATTTTGATTCGAAGATAGTTTCGAATACTTTATTCAATATCGTAGCATTAAAAATGAGCTTGAATTATATACAACATTGATAAAAATATCTTTCTTCAATTTGGAGGATAGTTTCGTAATATTTATGACGGAATAGGAAAAATAACAGTGTAAATGACCAAAATTTTCATAAAAGATATCAAAGATAAATTCTCAAAATTGTCACGATAACGCAAAATAATAAATTTTCCAAAAAAATGTATTCGATTCAACGATGCAAAATTTAGAAAAAGAAAAATTCAAACGCTCGATAGAATTGGATTCGAAAAATTCGAAAAATATTCGAAGATCATTGCGAATATTTTATTCAATATCGTAATATTAAAAATGATCATAACTTATACGCAACATTGATAAAAAGATATTTTAGATATCAAAGATGAATTCTCAAAATTTTCACGACAACGCAAAATAATA